TAAAATGATAGAGTACATGTACAAGAAACTGGCATAGCATCAGAAAAATGGATTTAAAAAACTCAAAGTAATGCAAACCTATTGAAAACAAGAATTAAAAGGATGATTATGTTCTTTGAAAGGTCAGCAAATGCAAAAATAAGTTAGACCATGAAGTAGGAAAGAAAGTAAGCATAGGCTAATTGGAAGTTATAGAGAGCAGCTAAGAGCTCTTAGTGATCAACTGATCAAAAATACAGTAGTATTTGGTGTCAGTTTTTTCTGCTGCCCTTCTAGCTTTCCTTCAGTGACCTCGTTCCCCTCGCCTCTATTACCATTTGTATGTGAATGGCTCTCAAATCATTGCCCAAGCTCCAGACCTTGGCAGTTATGTCCAACTGCCTACTCAAGTTCTGTTCTTGGGTATGTCACTGATGCCTTAAATTAAAGAGATTCAAATCTGAAAAAATGATTTCCCCACTTTTCTTCCCAGCCCCAAGTCTGTTTCCTTGCCGTGTTTCCCTGTTATGGAGATTAGTATTCTTACTCATCTGGTCACTCTATTTAGAAATCTAAAACATTTCCCTTGATGTTTCTTCTTTTGTCCCCCGTATCTAAGCAATCAGGAAGACTATTTATTCTTTTTCTTTAATTTCTCTTACTTATATTTACCTCTTTGTTTTCATTCATTGGAACAGGAGTTGGCAGACTTTTTCTATAAAAAGGCCAGATATTAAATACTTCAGGCTTTGCAGGCCATATAGTCTCTGTTATAACCATTGTAGCTCAAAAGCAGCCATAGACAATATGTAAATAAATCAGTGTGACTGTTTGTCCATAAAACTTTATTTCTAAACACTGAAATTTAACTTTCATAGAATTCATATATTACAGAATCTTATTTTGCTTTTTCCCCCCCTCAACTAGTTTAAAAATGTAACAACAATCCTTAGCTTGCCTTAACTATAAAAAACAGGCTCATAGTGCCATAGTTTGCCCACCCCTGGGTTAGGCCAACATTTTCTCTCTTCTATAATATGACAACAGTCTCCCTTCTGGTCTCCCTCCCTCTAGTCTTACCTCCTCTGTTTCACTCTTCTAGGAGATTGCAGCCAGATTGACTTCAAAACTGGAAACTGGATTTCACTACCTTGCTTAAAAGAACATTAAAGATTGACCATAGCCTATAGGATGAATCCACGTTCCTTAGAAAGCCCCTTCTTTTTTTTGATTTGGAGTCTTACTCTGTTGCCCAGGCTGGAATGCAGCAGCACATTCACAGCCACTGCAGTGTCTACCTGCTGGGCTCAGGCAATCCTTCCTCCTCAGCCTCCCAAGTAGCTGAAACTATAGGCATGCGCTATCACGCCCGGCTAATTTTTTTATTTATTGTAGAGATGAGGTTCCCCAATTGCCCAGGCTGTTCTCAAACCTGTGGTCTCTGGCAGTCCACTCACCTCGGCCTCTCAAAGTACTGGGATTATAGGCATGAGCCACTGTGCCCTGCCGCAAGCCCCTTCTTAACATGGACCTTGCTTACCTTTCTAGCCATATTCCTTACCACTTTTCCCTAATTCTCTGTTCTAGCTACCTGCTTGCAGCCCAGATTGGTCAGTGTTTTTCACATCTGAGTTTTGATACATGCCTTGAATGTTTTTTTTCTCTTTATCTTCTCCTTACTTTCACTTGGCCAAATACTGCTCTTCCTACAGGATTCATTTCGGCCATCATCATCATCTCCAGAAGCCTCCCCTCACTCCCTTAAGGCTATATTAAGTGTTTCTACTAAATTCTCTCATCATGTCTGTAGAACCCAATGATAACATTTTTCTTCTTTAATTGTCTGTTTACTTGACTGCCTCTCCTAAATAATAAGCTTCTTGAGTAATAGTGTTTGTCCATTATTTTTATTCCCAGTTTCTAATATGGTACCCCATAGTACCCTCAGCATTTTTACATGAAAGCAATTGAGATATAATTCATATACCATAAAATTCACCCTGTTAAAATGTATAATTTAGTGGTTTTTTTATTTACAATGTTTGTACAATCATCACTGTCTAATTCCAGAACATTTTCATCACCCCAAAAAGAAACTCTGTGCCTAAAAAGTCACCCCTTATTCTTTCCCCCAGCCCCTGGCAACCATTAATCTACTTTCTATCGCTATAGCTTTGCCTATTCTGTACATTATATATAAATGGAATCAGATATTATTTGTTCTTTTGTGACTTCTTTTACTTAGCATATATATAATATTTTCAGAGTTCATCCATGTTGTATCACATACTGATATTTCATTCCTTTTTTATCATAGAATATCAGAATTATATTTTAAACTTTATTCTTCAAAGCTCCCTGGACTCTAGGAGAAAAGAAAGAGGGACCCCTAGACTCCTACACCTGCTCCAGCTACAACAGTTCTGCTTTCATCTGTTATTTGTTTATGGATAAACTTTCATTTTAAATTTAAAAGTCACGGGCTCTCAGATTGAAGAATATACTCTACCAGGTACTGAAGGATCCTTCCTGGTCTTTTGACTCCATATTTCTTTCCCATTTTTCTTTTCCCTGAATCATGTGCTTCAGTCAAGTACATTAGTGGAGTCTTCATGTATACCTCATGCTTTCTTGTCACCAGACCACTTCTTATGTCATCTCCTCTATCTGAAATGCTCTTTTTCCACCTCTTTAAAGTATTACTTTAGCCTTACCATCAATGCCTAATTCAGATAAAATCCCTTTCATGAAGCTTTCCCTGATTTCTGAACTTCTATGGTAATTATACAACTTTAGATGGTACCCTGCCTACTGATTCCTTGAGACTACTCTCATGTGTTCTTAATTGTTATGCTTTCCTATCCAGTATCTTGGCACTAGATGCTGGGAAAGAGGATGGGTGTGACTAAAAAGGATAGTATGAGGGAGATCTTTGTGACAGAATATTCTGTATCTTGATTGTGATGGTGGTTATACAAATCTACATATATGGCCAGGTGTAGTGACTCACGCCTGTAATGCCAGCACTTTGGGAGGCTGCGGCGAGAGGATTGCTTGAATCTAGGAGTTCGAGATCAACCTAGGCAACATAGTGAAACCTCATCCCTACCAAAAAATAAAAAAGTTGGCCAGTTATGGTGGAGTGCATCTGTAGTCCCAGCTACTCTGGATGCTGAGGCAGAAGGATTGCCCGAACCTGGAGATCAAGGCTGCAGTAGTCATGATGGTGCCACTGCACTGCATCCTGGATGACAGAGCGAGCTTCTGACTCAAAAAACAAAACAAACAGAAACAAATCTACACATATGATAAAATGATATAGAACTATACATACACATTGTTCCAATGTTAGTTTCCTAGTTTTGGTATTATACTGTAGTTATGTAAGATGTACTACCCATTGGGGGAAATTGTGTGAAAGGTACATGGGATCTCTCTGTCTTGTCTTTGCAATTTGCTGTGAACCTAATTATTTCAAAATAGACAGTTTAAAAAGTATTCTTTAGAGATTGAGGAGGTATTGCATAAAACGAAAGCATCATGGTGCTGTTATGATGGTATGAGTCTGCCAGTGCTTTTCAATGTAAAGTTACTTTGATGTAGACAAGAGAACCCATTTATAGTGATATTTTAGTTACATTTCATAATTAGGTGAAACTTGTCTAAAGCAAGGAATGAGACACAGTGGTTTTCTGTGTGTGAAGTCCTGGCTTATCCAATGCCTTTTTTTGTTTTTTGATTCAGGGTTTTACTCTATTACCCAGGCCATGGCTCGCTGCAGCCTCCAAATCCTGGGCTCAAGCAATCCTCCTGCATCAGCCTCCCAAGTAGCTGGAACTAAAGGGATATGCCACCTTGCCTGGATAATTTTTGGATTTTTTTGTAGAGATGAGGTCTTGCTATGTTGCCCAGGCTGGTCTTGAACTCCTAGGCTCAAGTGATTCCCCCCACCTTGGCCTCTGAAAGTGCTGGGATTACAGGCATGAGCCACCATGCTCAACCTTGTTTTAATTTTTAAATTGAATGGTAGGCTGGGCATGGTGGCTCATGCCTATAATCTCAGCACTTTGGGAGACCAAGGCGAGAGGATTGCCTAAGCCTGCGGGTTTGAGACCAGCTTGGGCAACATGGCGAGACCTTATCTCTGCAGTAAATCCAAAAATTAGCCAGGCGTGGAGACATGTGCCTGTAGTTCCAGCTACATGGAAGGCTGAGGTGGAAAGATAGCCTGAGCCCAGCAGGTCTTGGCTGTGGTGGCCGTGAGCGTGCCACTGGGCAACAACAAGTGAGACTCCAACTCAAAAACAAAAAGAGAGAGACTCCGACTCAATCAATCAATAAAATTGAATGGTAAGCCTTAATTTGAATCAGTTTTGGTACATTTTTAAGTTCTTAGTGTTCTTTTATACTGCTTCCTAGAGGACAGTGACCCTGGCTCTGAGTTTTGGAAAAAAATCATTATGTGATGTTCAACTCAAATTTTAAAACTTTTGAAAGTTATTACATTGTATGTCAAGTAAAATAAATATTCTTGTGCAAATTTAAAATAAACATTACAAAATCAGAATTTACCTCTTGATTCTTGTTGGAAAGAGGTGGGGCATAAATAATCAGAGTTTTTCATTTGCATTCATAATCAAGCTCAAAGTGAATATGAGTCAAAAAAAAGTAGCCAGTCTCGGTGGCTCAGTCTGTAATCCCGCACTTTGGGAGGCTGAGGTGAGTGGATTGCCTGAGTCTGCGGGTTCGAGACCCGCCTGGTCAACTTGGCGAGACCCCATCTCTACAATAAATCAAAAATTAGCCGGGCGTGGTAGCGCGTGCCTGTAGTTCCAGCTACTTGGAAGACTGAGGCGGAAGGATCACCGGAGCCCAGCAGGTCGAGGCTGCAGTGGCCGCTCCAGTCTGGGTGACAGAGTGAGACTCCAACTCAAAAACAAAAAACAAAAAAACCAAAAAAAAAAAGTAAATATGAGCAAAACTACATATTCTTTAGTAAAATGAAAAAAATTTTTTTTCAGGTTAAACTACAGAACAACATATCATATCAGATGGCAGACATACATCATTTAAAAGGTAAGAGACTTAATTACAGATTAAAGATAAAGATAACTGAATGGCTGGGTGCCGTGGCTCACACCTGTAATCCCAGCACTTTGGGAGTCTGAGGCAAGAGGATCTCCTGAGCCCAGGGATTCGAGACCAGCCTGGGCAACTTAGCGAGACCTCATGTCTACAAGAAATAAAAAAAATTAGCTGGGTGTGGTTGCATGCACCTGTATGTAGTTCCAGCTGCTTGGAAGGTTGAAGTGGAAGGATCACCTGAGCCCAGAAGGTTGAGACTGGGCCTCTGCTTGTTCTTTCTGCCTCTGGCTGGAACCAATTTAAGAAAGAGTCCTGCCAGGCATGGTGGCTCATGCCTGTAATCCCAACACTTTAGGAGGCAGAGGCAAGAGTATTGCTTGAGCCCAGGGGTTTGAGACCAGCCTGGGCAACTTGGCAAGACCTTGTGTCTACAATAAATAAAAAAAAATTAGCTGGGTGTGGTGGCGTGCATCTGTAGTTCCAACTGCTTGCAAGACTGAGGTGGAAGGATCGCCTGAGTCTTGCAGGTCTAGGCTGTGGTGGCTGTGAGCGTGCCACTGCCCTCCAGGCTGGGTGACAGAGTGAAACTCATCAATTAAAAAAAAAAAAAAAATCACTAAATGTCTAAAATCCTCAGGAATTAAGAAATAGCAAGTTAGCTTAATGGAATAAAATTTTCTGAAAAAAAAATTCCTCTGATGACAAGACATATCCTTTTGTTTTAAGATATAATAAAAATCATTTAATGTTGCTTTATATATGATAAATGCAAGTTAATACCTGAGGTCTGTATCTTAACATTGTGCTATAGGCAGGATTCATGCAATGACATGTTCTTAAGAGATTTCTCAAAGAAAATTGAGCTGTAGCTTCAGAGTCCATCAGATTTCTAGAGATAAGGTGAGAAGTGTTCCCTCTGTACTGTGGTCAATCTGCTAAAATAATCCAGTCCGGTTTAGGTATGCTTTGGACAGGTTCTCCAAGCTTAATGTTTTAGATACCCTGGGAATAGAAGGAATCCTAGAAGATAGATAAATAATAATAAATTTTAAAATACACACATATTTTCACTTGGATGAACTTTTTGTAGAGCTATTTTTTTTTAACTACAATTTTTGTGGGAAAAAAATAGTTCTACACTCTGCTTATGTTACTTCACACCACTGTTGACCTTTGGAGTTTGGGGCCTGAGGATCAACCTTCCTCTCCCCCACACCCTTTGGTTATAACGCTTTTTTATTTTAAAACTCTGTATACATTGGCTCAAGGCTTATGTGTGTGGATAATACATGTCTAATTTCATAAATACCCTATTATCATTTTAGCCCTCTTTAGATATTGGATAATCTATTTTTATCATCCTCTTGAAGTAGCCAACCTTAGCTGGCTTTGTAATGTGGTAAAGTTCTCCTCTTTACCTAGCAAAACCATTAGGAAGTGTATCATAACCCTAAAATAAAGATTGTTTATTTTTTACTACCTATGATTTTGAATACCTTTGACTTTCTGTTAGAAATACTTTCTGGGTGGTCAAGTTGGTTTTTGTTATATTTGTGTCCATGTTCTCCTTTTTTTTTTTTTAATCAGAATCTCATTCTATCACCTAGGCTGGAGTGCAGTGTCATGATCACAGCCCACCACAACCCCAATCCTCGGCTCAAGCATTTCTCTGCCTTGGCTCCCAAAATGCCAGGATTATAGGCATGTGCTGCCACCATACCCAGCCTATTCTACTCTTTTTGACTCACAGGAGTACATTAGGATGGCATAGAAGATGTCACACTGTCAGTGCTGCTTCCATCTTGCAGTTTTTACAGATGAGTCCACTTGTCATCAAAGTATATTTCTTATTAAACAGTAAGAGATCAGTTGAATAAGAAGCCCTGTGGCCCCTGTTAGTATATGTCAACAAAAATGACAACCTGTGTTATTGAGTAAAAATCTTTATGGTACTGAATGTGGTGAATTAGTTCTTGAGATAACCTTGAAATTTTTAATGTTATTCTTCAGCGGAGAAAAAGGCCCTAATTTATATGCATATTTCTCATTTAAAGGAATTAATAGACCTTAGGTCGCTTATGATGACTAATATTTTCTTGGAAATAAAAGGAATGAGAGTTGGACAAACTTTTTTTTTTAAACATTTTTTTAATTATAAAATTGTGGGGTACAGTTAAGGGTTAGGTATACAAATGTGCATCGTTCAGGCACCCT